GCCTAGTAAAGAAAGAAAGGTTATGCCCCCCCCCAATGAGCACCCCAGCGAGGGAGGGCGAGGCGATCGAGGGGTCCCGTGCCATGCGGAATCGACCCTATCCAGTGCTCAAGTGCTCAAAGAATCAAAGAAAACAGACTCAACGGGGAGGGATGGATCCCGTGCCTAGTGTTGTGATCTGTGATCTGTGAGGGTCCGCCCGCAGGCGCATTTTGTACACCGAGGCGGTGCCCGGTGCCGAGCGCAGGCCGGAGCCCACAGGTCGGACCTTAAGACAGCGTTGTAGATCCCTGGGCGAGGGTGGTGGAGAGGGCGGTCGCGCGGTCCGTCGGCGCCAAACCACCTCCTGCCTAGTGTTGTGGGAGTTCCTCGTAAAATTCTTCCGTACGCGCCAGTCCTCATCGCAAACCCCGTCATAAATAAATAAAACGGGCACGCCAAAACGAGGGGTGGGAGAAGGACAGGGCCCCCACCTGCACGAGCAGGATCTTGGAAGGCAAATCCCGTCGCAGGCAGGTGTAGTTTATTTTTGCATGGGCGGGCCTGATGCCGGGGTAGGTAGGGTAGGTCTGGGCCCTCCCGTCGGGGTTTCCCTCTCTTCAAGCTGGAATTTCAAAAACAGAAATTTTCCGCGGAAATCACGATGTCAACCCTCCCCAAATGGGTGATCTGATGCTTTTAGGGCTTGAGAGTGGCCTGCCATGTCACAAGAAGGATTGTGGTTGCAGGAGAGTACCACCAACCATCACTCTAGTTGGTATAGTACCCCACCTTCACCGATCGAGTGATTTCTTTTTTAGTTTACCATAAGTAAGGTAGGTAGGTAGGTAGGTAGGTAGCTTCAAGAACGGACGGACGGAAAAAACCCCCCTTTTATGCCTGACCCTGGCCATGGCCTCTCTGGGGGTGAGCTGGGCCGGCCGCCTCCGGGTCCGCCACTCGCACGGTGGGCTCGCGTCCGGGAGAGCATCCGAGACCCGCGGTTGTCCGCTCGCTGGGCGCGACCTACATGGAAATCCACTGCACACAGATCTGTGCTTTTGGCGCCTATTGCTCGCTCTCTGTGCAATCGCAACGCCAGAGGCCGTGCTTGGAGAGTGTGTCGCAGTGCTGCTACGTCAGTGGATTGAGCCGCGACGCAGGCTCCATCGGTGAGCTGCGGCGGCGCACCGGCCGCTCCATGCATGCTCTCCGGCGAGCCGTCGCAAACGCGTCTTCCGTCCGCCCGTTTCATCGAGTTTGCCCGAGTGTGGTAAAATGCAATCGAATCTGCCCGAGTGGTCAAGTAAAACTTTGCCTTTCGTAAAAGTTGCCCGAGTGGTCTGTGGGGAAAAAACGAAAATCGAGACGGACTTCCTGAATGGCCGGGCAACATGTCTTCCTTACTATTATTAATTGATGCTTTTTGCACGGCTGAGCCCCCCCCCCCCCCCCTCCCCCGCGCCCACTCCCTGCCCTCTCCCGCCACGCACTCCGTCAGAGCCCCCTCCCCTCCTGCACAACAGGAATTTTGACAATTAACAGGATGGATTCAAAGAATAACCTGTGTCACCCGAAATCCATAGTGTCACTCCAGATCCATAAAATGTCGCATTTGCAGCGCATTTTGTTGCAAACAAGTGTGCAAATGGTTGTTTTGACCAGTACTCACCTGCCCCTGCGGAGCATGCGCATGCTAGCTCTCGTACATGCACTCTCTCTTCCGTCCGCACCCGCACGGTACCCATTCCGGAGCCCACCATGCCGCTCGCACCTGGCTCGCACCCACCCACTATGCGTGTCATGCCAGCAGTGCTATGAGCTAATCACTTGGGGACGCCCATGAAGCCCAAGAACCTGGCCTGACTCTCCCGCTCACTCTGCTCGCGTGCGCGCGAAGCGTTGAGCTCGGCCAGCATCATGCCCTGCGCAAAGGTTGGGGAGAACATGCTCCCGCCCGGCTGTGCAAACACGGAGGGGGCCGTCTCTGCATCGCGAGTGCGATAGAGCGGCGCCGCCGGTGCCGGCTTGGCCCTCTTGCGGCGCTGCCCCTGCGGCGCATCCCTCGGCGGTGGCGGCCCGGGTGGTGCCGGCCATCGCCGACGTCGCGCCTTATCCAGGGCCAGCACGCCGCTTCACGGCGCAAGGCCGCCGTCCGAACTTGCTTGTCAGCATGTCCAGCCACTTCGAATAGTAGGACCTCCCGTTGCC